GTTAAAAATCCAGAAATAGTCCTAATTTTATGATGGTTCCTTAATATATTTTAACTACATTGCATTTGAGTATGGAGAGGCAACTATCTGGAAGTTTTTTACATAAAAAATTTACTAAGTATCGCCCGGTTTGTAGTTGCATTTAAAGAAAACACATGAAAAGGCACGATTTTTTTTAAATTCGAAAAAATGTAAATATTTCAAAAACGGTGACACTTTTACCTGAAATTTTTTTGTTTATCAGGGAGCTCACCCCCCACCTACCTTCCCCTAAAGTTTGGCACGTTACTTCTGGGACACCATACAAATGTATGTATGTACATAGTAGGTACCTAAAACACATAAAAATACATATCTAAAGTATTCCAAAAAGAGCTTTCTCAGATAATTTGGAACGAAGCCATCACTTTCTTTACCATTTAAACAATAATATTATGCGCAACTCACCTAGATTTGGCACGGTAACAGTAACTTGATTGTTGGAGCCGACGTCCACAGTAGCTACTTTACTTTTGTCTACACTCGCTGGCTTAAAGTCATCTATAAAAAAAAACAGAAAAAGAATGTTGTTTTAAATATAATAACATATGTAAATACTGATATGTGTATGTAATTGGTATGAAGAATATGCAGAATATTTCTTGAAGAACTTACATTTTATCGTGTGAAAGGCGGTCGTTGTATTTTTCGTATTAAATGTGCAGCCAAGCTTTAATTCGCGCACTTCCTCGCCAATATTTAGGCGCTCGGCGAGCGAACTTTTATGTTTGGTCATCATCATCGTCGTCGTTGTCGACGTTGAACCAGCTGGAGCCGTTGAGAGTTTGGTATGAGGCGCTGTGGTTTTTGTATGTGACGATGACGATAATGTTGTATTGGCGTATGTTGAATAATTTGTATAATTGGCACTGGTGTTACTGTTGTTGTTGTGTTGGTTGTTATAGTTGTAGTTGTAATTGTTGTTATTGGACTGGTGTTGTTGTTGCTGTTGTTTTTGTTGATATGATGATTTTGTGGGTGTTGTTGTTGCAGTTGTGGTGTTGTAATTTGGCGATTGAAAACCATGCAAATACGCCGGTTCCTGTTCAGCCTGAAATATCGAGTTGGGCGACGTTGTATAGGATTTTCCGCCGCTGCCACCGCCAGGACCTGCACCACTCGTCGTCGTCGTCGTCGTCGCCGCCGCCGCTGCTGCCCACTGTCCAGCACCGCCGCCACTTCGTTGCAATTGCTGTACACTGCCTGTTGTAAATTTACGGCCGCCTGCTGAACGACCACTTCCTCCAACACCCCCACTGCTACTATTACTCGCTGTTACTGTTGCCCCAGCCGCTGCACTGCCTGTTCGACTGCGTTTCACGCTACCACCTGCAGCTTTGGCCTTGAGACGCTGTAACGTGGTGGTGCCCGATGACTTCGGAATTTTTTCGGTTTATGGTGCAATACGGAATTGCACACACACGCTCACGTACGAAAAAATATAATATTTACACTTAAAATTAAAAAAATAGTGGATTGCACACTACCAGGCGCGAGTTTCTAACGCCCAGCACCTCTGCTTTTCAAATCAGCTGGCGATACGCACTACACTTAGCACACATTTTGTTTTTAATTATTTTGATTCTGAAAACAAAGTAGATACATGGGTATATAAAATTGATTAATCACTAAGCGATCACTTATCGGGAAACTGTAGATGTGCTATTTACATATGCATGTAGGTACACAGTTATATACATAGTATGTAATTATGTAGTATCTACTAGTCTTAATTCGAAACGTCCTAGAAATCTTGCTTTCAAAATTGCACGCATATGCGGTGGGCATCTATGAGCCCCACTCTTATGACAAGGAATTACCTAGCAAAGTCTACTAACCCTAATAAATGGGAAACTTTGCGATTCACTACGAACTGCAGCTTATGCTGACTCAATATATAACTCATCCCACAAGTTGGTTAAGTACATAATGTACATATGTATGCTAATTTCTGACAGAGTAAACTTGTGATTTTTAAGACGAAATTTTTTAGCATTCCATTATAGTGATTTTTGCACATCCGAAAAGATTGAGATTTTTAATTTTTTATGTCTCCTGGTACATATTCTTCTTTTCCTCGTACTGCAGCTCCCGGAACATATGTTTGCATTTACGGCCTTTGCATTCCTCCGGCTTTCACAAATCGAAAATCCGCAGTAACGCAATGCGTGCGACAAATATGAAAGGTATGCCACGCCGTTACAGCCGCTACAACAACAATAACGACATCAGCCCACAGCAACAGCATTGGTAGGCAGTGTCGCCACTCAGCTGTCACCAATACCACCCCCACAAGCATATGGCCTGTTGACCACTTTTCACCGAAGAAAAGTAATGGCAAAGTAGAAAAGAGGAATTGAAAGAAATAAAATTGCAACCTACTACCAACAACTCCCAGCAGCGCGCGCGTCGACGTCATTGACGTCTCAGTATCTGACGTCGACGCCATCGACTGCGAATGGAACATAAGAGAATTGAATAGGGGGCTGGGGCGACGGTCATCATGCGCTGTGGTGGTGGTGGTGGCGTGTGTTGGCGCTGTTGCTGCCTGTGGCGAAACTGTTGCAATTTTCACTATATTTTTTGTTGTTTTTTTTTTACATACCAAGATTTATTGCGTCTGTACGCTGTTACTACACTCACTTTAGCAAACGCATACGCGTTGTATAAAAGAAAAGGAAATTTTGTATGTGCACCCACGGTCTAACCTAGAACACTAATTTTTATTCGATTTCATAGATTTTTGGGGTTATTTTCCATACACGGAATTATTTCGATGCTTTGTCAACGTTTTTGGTTTCGATTTCGACGACGGCGCACCTCGCGACGTTCCAGCGCACCTGCCGCAACGACGACACTGAAATTTTACACGTCCACAAAAATCTCGAAACGATTTTTTGCACTTTTCCAATTTATTAAAGTTTTTCAATTTCCGCAAACGCGTTATTGCCGATTTTTAAGCACTTTTTCATGAGTGTTGGTCAAATAAAAATTTTCTCTTTCGATTGATTTCAACGTCGTCGCGCTGTCGTCGTTGTCTCGTCTACGTTTCTTGCACTTTCATCACTTCAATGATAGTTCGCCGTTTTTGGTCTTTTCGCTGTGTGACTGGTTGCCTGTCACTGTTTATCGCTGTCTATGTTTTCTTCCTATTCGTAGCGCAGGGTTGCATTGAAGATATTTGCAAATCTTTTTCATAAAAATTAAAGAAAAAAATGCGTATGCCAAAAATTTTATAAAAATCTTATTTCAAAGATTTGCAAAAGAATTGAATCTTATTAAAACCAAAAACTTTGTATTGAGAGATTACTATTGATTATGTAAGACAATTGCCAAACTTAATGGCCCGTAGTCATAGTCAAAATAAAGTCGACTTTAAAATTAGTTGCAGCTTTTTGACATAATTTTCAATGGGATATCTGTCAAAAAAGCTGCAACTAACTTTAAAGTCGACTTTATTTTGACTATGACTACGGGCCAATAACTATAAGGATATGCCGGCAAACGGCGAATTATTATATTATTATTTAATATCGATCTACAGCTGACATTTTCAAGGTCACAGCTGCTTATTTTACCTTTTACTTGATTGCAGGATTTAATGCAAGGAAGTTTTTCTACCTGTGTATGCACACTTAAAAACTTCGCTTTTTTGTAGTCGTAGCTATAAAATAAAAGATGACTTAAGGCCACACATAACCAGCCGTCTTCGCATGCTTGAAAATCTCGCTCTTTCTTCTCTCGCAAGCGAGATAGAGTTTTGTTGATTGTGCATTTGACAACATACTTTTTCATCAAGAATGATAGAATACAAGATTGCGCCGATCAGAGAGGATTTTTGAGAATAACTTTTGTGTGACGTCACACTGGTGCAATTGCGAGAGGGAAATGCCAAAACGTGAGCAAGAATGGAAGAAGAAGAAAAAATGTTGCAAGGAAAACGTAAACAAGTTGCACAAGTGTGACGTCATGCAAACAACGATTCTGTCAAATTCGTTAAGAGAGGAATAGCGGTCCGAGATCGGCGCAACCTTTGTATTCTCTCAATCGTGATTTTTCATTTGTAAAATGTCGCCAAAAAAGACGAAAAGTATGCTTCGTACATTTTGCGTTCTACATGCGTGGCATCTGCCAAGCGTCGTCAGGCAAGCGAGATTTTCCAGCAGGTGAAGACGGCCGGTTGGGAAACGGTTTGCTTCGATTACTTTTTAAGGCACATTAAACAGGCAGCGGCATTAAGTAAAACCAACAAGCTGCCGCTATTTTGTTGTTATTATTTCTCTAAAATGCCTAAAAATTTAAATAAAATTTGCTAATACAGAGTGAAATGTAAACATAAACCACTTCGAATGAAAAAAAGATTAAAATCGCAACCCTGCACATTTGCATTTGTTTTGTTGTTGTTGTTGTTGTAGCAGCATACAAATTCCACAAAGACTTTTTGGGGAGTGTTGCTGGAGTGACAGTCCTTGGCCAGATTTAAATCTGGGTCGTTCCGGTTACGTAGACCCGACTGTCGTGGGAACGGCATTGGTTTTTTCCCGATTTTTACTAACACTGGCGCCGAAACTGCTGCTTTGGAACCGAAATGCCAAACGAAAATTCGGTTACCGTTTGAGAGACCGTGTGAATTGTAGAGTTTTGAAAGCCACTGCATGTGCACTATGCAGTTTTTAAATATGTATTCAGGGTTTTGACTACGATAAATGAGAAATATTGGTCGATAATGCAGGTGGTCTGTGAACTGCTTTGCCACGAAAGGAAACACTGCTTGGTGTATTATTTACTACTGTTTTAACGACTTTCACCGGATGTACAAGTATGTATTAATTAATTTAGATTGAAAAAAATTTGTAAATGGAAAGTCATGAAATGCTTATGAGGATGATAACCATAACCGTCATCGATTCGCCACTTCGCTGCTTGTTGTGTTTGAGCTCCGGTCACTTAACGAAATATTTTGCATGTGAAAGCAACAACAAAGTTAGCTAGCAAGAATGGACGGTAGCGAGTTTGGATGTGCCTCATTGGGTTCCTTCGCTTCGCCACTCACTAACTGTTGGCGAATCGATGACGGCTAATAATAATTTGGCGCTTAAACTTTTGCAAAGTGGTTGGCCGAGCTTCTACGATTTGTGGTGTAAATTTTATAAGAAACTTTTCAAGGCAGAAATAAACTCAGAGATTTGTCATTGCCTGCCTGGATTTATTTTGCTGTTGTACCATGTTATCGATATCATTGTGATTATAGTTATTATTTATAGTTATCGTTATCCCTGTTGTTTATTAAGATTTTATTTTATGCATTTCTTTAAGACAGAAAAAAATCCATTATATCAAAAGAAAACAATACTTATATAGTTATATTCATTGGGGTGGTTAAAAAAGTCTAAAATGTGAAGCTATTACCTCTAAGATTTTTCTAAATAAAAAAAATATATATATTTACAACTGCCTCAAAGCCCATGAAGTTTTCCATGTGTTTTATATGGAATTCTTGAAAATCAATATTATTTGATCGGAAAACTGTGGTTCTCTTCAGGAGACGTCCAATAATTATACCTTATTATTTATTTAACCATTTTTACTACTAATGATTTTTTATACATATTTGTAAATCTCAAAATTAGAAACAAAAACTTTTAATGTTCAATAACCACAGCTGCACACCTTGCATTCGCTGATAAAAATCAAACTGAACACTTGAATGAACCGCTTTTATTCTTAAAGAATTTCGCCGCAAAAGGATTTCACATAAAAAATCAAATTATTTAAAAAAAGTATCGTTTACATTTACCGCATTTAACAGCAAAGAAACAAAAAATCTAAAAGGAAATCAGTGGAAAGTGGGAAATATATTCTCTATAACGAAAAGGATATACCATTTAATAATGCATTAGGACTGAGTGCAAAAAAAAACTGCGTAAAAAAACCATTTGCAGAAAAATATATACTACAAAGAAGTACATAGGACATAATTCTTCAACCTTTGATATGATCACAAAAACAAAAATACTAAAAGGAAAACGAAAAAAAAAAACGGTATACAATTAATAATTATAGTAAACGCCTACACTGCAAGAACTGGAATCTTCAAGCAAATCAAATAGCGGGTAAAGAGCTTAGCAGACTAGTTGGCTGGCCACAGAGAAGGACATTGTGGCTGAGTGACAGGTCACTCGCAAGTAAGCGCACACAAACACAGCCGGTCTGACGGCCTTGCATCTTCCTCATTGATCCGATTTTGCAGATCAAATCATAATCTATTCATTTCATTTTGTATGCAAGTGTACTGCGACGCTGGTGGCAATGTTGGCGGCGCCTCTGTCTGTCTGTCTGTTCTATATTACTTATCCGATCTTTATCGGCTACTGTTGTAGATTACTTAGCGCATGAGAAAATAATGCTACCTAGCTTGCATTTATGCTACTTTTCGAGAGGCGGATTTAATTAGTTGATCCTGGCTACTGTTGTAGTTGAGTAAACAGGTATATACATATGTATGTATATCCTTTAGTCCTTTTGGTTGCTTTTCTTTTGTATCATTTTCATGTTTGTGATAACCGATCTCCGCCGACGAGGAGTTGTTTACTAATGTTTTGCGAAAGGCGGAAAATTCGTTTGTTTATTTAGAGGAAGATTTACTAGTTGAGGGTCGCAGATGGAACTGGAGTGCTGGTTGTGAATGTCTTTAAGCATTGGGGCAGGTGTATTGGTAATACAATGCGTTCGGCAGTTCAATTGTAGTTAAAAGTAGTATATGAACATTAGGGTGCCCATCGAAAATGTTTTTTTTTTTTTTAGAAATATTATTGCATATTTTTATGGATTTTTCTGAGAAGAGAATATATAGACCTTTAAAATGGTATATAATACTCGATTGTCGGACTTGGCTTGTTGGGATTTTGTATCGGGTAAATTGAAAAAAAAACCCATATTTCTCTTAATTTTTTTAAATTTTGACCATCGATAATTTCTACAATTTCAAAATATGGAGTACTGTCTTCAATTAAATCTATTTTTAAATCAACTGATAGCACATTTATTGCAATCGCATAAAAATTGTCGAAGTTAGGCGACTTTTTTTAAATACGGCCCTGAATTTATATCGTTTATGTACCGGACTTTCAGCTTTTTTGAGCATTATGGCTAAGGAATTCATCAATATTTATTCAAATTGTTATATATCGCTATTTAGCAATGACGTGGCTTTTCAGGGAATTTCAGGAAAATGGGGGTGGCACCGCCCACTTATATCATACATCCTCTAAATGACCTCTAAAAAATTTATAAAAATAGGCAACAATATTTCTCACAAAAACGAATAAAATTAATATTAATAATATGAAAAAAATAATAATATTAAAAAAAGAAAAAACATTTTCGATGGGCACCCTAATCTACATCATATGTATACATAAACTGTTGAACTGTGAATGATTAAACCGTATTTTTTTATAAGGGATAGAAAATAACCGTTATTTGGATTTTTATTTTTAGATCATCCCAAATATCTATTTAATACTTTTATATTTTTCGATAAAAAAATAATCGTTGTTTTTGGATTTGTTGTATCATATTTGATCTTACTTTTGTGACTTTTATTGTTTCAAAAATAACGATTATAAAAAAACAATCAACGATAAAATCGAAATTCAATCGAAATATCGAAGAGATACCTAATTAAATTTCAAACAAAACAAAATAAGCCCCAAATTTAAGTTCATTTCATGTATTTCTGTTTAACTTCTACCCTCCACTCGCTAGTCTCAAAAATTGAGGTATAGCAAGAAATAAAGGAATTTGCATTAGTAGCATTCCTGGATATTCCAGGAGCTCTGACGGACTTGCCGGTGGAGAAAACTCTGGTTAGAATCATCCACCAATTGCTGACCAGCTGGGAGATGAGCGCGGAATTGTGGAGGACATACGAATCGCAGGTCTCTCAGGGGGATGTTCTCTCTCCACTCCTATAGGTGACTGCTGCTGCGCATGGAGGCATGGTTCGATATGGGGTTCTCGCATACGCCGGTGATGTTGCGGTTATCGTACAGGGGAAGTTTCCTAAAGCCGCTCTTGCTT